GTCAAATATCTTTATTTTCTTTTAATAATCACCTTCAGTTATTTATCAACATTCAAAGTAGAATTTGAATGTCGATAAATAACAACAGGGACAACAATCATAATAACAGGGCAAAAGTCTCAGCAGTGCTTTTCCAAATTTCATTTATACAAATATGACTACACAACCTTCAAATCAAAACATTCTTTGTAATACACTTCTGCCAATCAAACAGCAGCAACTTTCATGGAATACTGGTTAACAGAAATGGATTCACACATGCACACTAGGGGAAAATGTTGGCAATGGCAGACTCTTCATCAAGTTTGAATTTGAAGTAAAAACAGTGAAGATAGCTATGATTTATTGTTGCTTGAGTCCAATCTAGAGTTGTTGTCTGCAGAGGGCCTCTGTGAGAATTAGAAATCTGTCGGTGTCTTGTGATGCTTATCTCCTTTTTGTGTACACCTATTTATCATGCTGACAAAGTAGTTTACAATGTGATCTTAAGTCCAGCAATGTAACAACCAAAATTTCTACTCATGGTTTTTGTGTACAACACTTATGACTTCTCTCTGAAGGTGTTGGGAAATCAAATTACATGTAGTGTCCCTACAAAGGTCAAGAGAATTTGGCCAGCCAAACAAAACTACAAATTTACTTCATGAAGCAACAATAAATCATACTGTAACTTACTTTTATATTTGAACTGTTCAATGTTTACATTCCCTCCAGACACGGTTCTTCAGACCAGTATTCCATATAATTATAAGGAGAAGCTGTTTGATTCATTTGACATCTCTGGGATAATGGGTTATGTAAGTGGGAGTGTTGTGCTAAAAATGGAACTGTTATTTCAAATAAGTCAAATTAAATGGTTGTTAATAGTGTGTTAATGACAGCTTGTAACTGTTAGTTCAAACGACCCAGATCATTGTGTTAAAATTTCTAGTTCATTTGTTGGTCAGGGAAAGTGTTAATCTCAATCGTTCAGGTGTACATCAGGTTTAAGACAAGTCTTGAAAAGGTTGGTTTTTCCTATTAAAATTGTATAACAGTGTTGGTTCAAAAGTTTTTAAATATCTTTCTGCTGTGGGCATGAAGTCTTGAGAAATGATCTTTGTGAAAGTTTAGTTTCCAGTTAAAGCTTTGATTTTTGCTTCTCTCTTATCAATCACCATTCACTATGAAATTCTTGAGTTTGCTCATAGAGCACTTTGATTTAGTTGCTGAAATAGTTGACCCAGTGGTATTTCAAATTTTACTCTGATACTGCGTACAAAAGAAAAAATGTTGCCATTTTGTAGATGACGTACCCCAACTTCAGATTAATGGCTGAAACAATACAATAACGCAGGCACGCATATTTTAGGAATGGGTCATTCCAGNATTATTATTATTATTATTATTATTATTATTATTGCACGGTTTTACTCCTAGTAAGTGAAGACAAGGGTGATTCAGATCTACAGCCCCCTGAATGACAGAAGTGATGAGGACAAGGAGGACTTCTATGAGTTGCTCCAGAAGGAGATTGATGCCAGACTATCCCACCACCTACTGATCCTGTTTGGCAATCCAAATGCCAAGGTGGGATCTGACAAGATTAGCTGGGAAGACACCATGGGTAACAAAGGATCAACACTATGAATGATAATGGCCTACGATTTGCATCTCTCTATTCTGAAAACAGTTTTGTCATAGGTGGCACTTGTTTCAAGTATAAAGACATCTCCAATTACAGGTGGAAAACACCAAATGGCCATGATAGGAATCAGATTGATCATGTTGCAATTTGGAGAAGATTCAGTAGATCGTTACTTGACATCATAGTTCAGCTAGGAGCAGATGCAACAAGTGACCATCACCTTGTCTGATGCAAGACACAGATGAAACTGGCAAGAAACAGAATGAAACAAATATCTAGGACCTTCCATAACACTGCAAAGCTAATATCCTTTTCTATGTTTCCCTGAGTTTAGTGCATTACTATGTTGTTAAGGTGGCTCCATAGGGTAATCATTTATGGCGTTGCACGCACAAGTGTGATGTTTTAAATGCTGTTTTTGCATTCGTTTTTACACCCAGTCATCTCAAACTAATTACATGCAATAAGCAATGATTAAATAGTGTTTTACTATCATCTCTGTTAAAATTATTGGTTTTAGCCTTGAATTATAAATTCCCAAACAAATATGTTTTTTCTTTTTTATAGCTTTACTTGCGATTTTCTTGAATTTCCTTCGGTGAAATCTTCCCAAATTTTCACAGCATATTGCTTCCTGCGGGATATGAATTTTAAAGACGAAAAAAGTAGGGTTTGTAAAGGCAGGTTTTTCGATTTTTGCAAATTTACGTCTTTTACCGCTGCGAAAAAACTGGTCTTATAGACTTCCCTGAAAAACAAACTTCGACTAAAGTAAAACATTTACTACCAGTCTGCCAAGTTTTACGGAATTTCACCGAAGGAAACGCGAGAAAATTCATTGTCAGTTTTCCTTGTTGGGCTCATGTTGACGTAATAAAATATCGAAAAACACTGACGTTTTCCTTCGCGCGCGCAGATTACCCGAGCTTTCGTCCTCAGCAAGCGTGCGATCGTAAAACTATAGCAAGCCACCTTAAATGACAGTCCACTACGGTTGCTAAGGACCATGTGTGTGACTCGCAAGAGTCGAGTTGCAAGGAGAGCAGTGTGTTTAATGCAGTAAGTTACTCTCAGAGGCAAGTACTCAGATATGACTCAAGTCCAATCTGGCATCCTTCAGTGGAAAAGACTGAGTTTAACATGTACAAGTTACAGTTTGTTTTTTGTGGATTACAACCTGCTTTATGTGGTTGTGGAGTCACAAAGGGATGTAAATTCTCTACATTGAAATCAACACATAAATTATCAAACATAATCATGTAACAAAAAGTAACCAGAGACTAGGAATTCTGAGAAGAAACCTCAACATTAACTCTCCAGAACTGAAGTCAATTGCCTACAAGAGTTTGTTCCAGTCCACTGTGGAATATGATTCAAAATTTAAGGATCCATATGCCAAACAAAACAGTGATAATTATAGTGGAAATGGTGCAACGTAGAACAGCACATACATACTAAATCACTATGAAAGGTCTGCCAGTATCACAGAAATGTTGATGGAACTAGATTGGGGAAACTTTAGAACTACGTAGGTAGAAAGAAAGGCTAACAATGCTATATATAATGCATTACAATCTAGTTGAGATAGACCAACAGAAATATTTGGAGCCTGCTGTAGCAGGCACATGCACAAATTCTTGTAGACACTCCAAGCATCTGAAGCAAATTACCACCTGTTCTCATTTTTCTCCACAAATGATCGGGGAATGGAATAACCTACTCCTGAATGCTGTTGAGGCACAATCTGTGAATTCCTTCATAACCAAGCTAGACATGTTTTGATTATTGGTGGCCACTGACCACTTGCTAAAAATCATCATATCGATGTAGAGCATGTATTTGAAAATAAATTAAATAAATAAAGGTCTTTATCCTGAGAAATATCTAGGATTAAAGTGCTGAGTGGCAAGCATCCTTTTAGACTGGTTTCATTGATTTCAAGAAGGCCTTCAATAGTGTAAGAAGAGACAAGCTCTGGAATATTCGTAAGCATTATGACATTCCTGCTGGATGGAAGCACCTGCTGTGTTGCTGAAAGTTGATGGACATCAGATTGGTTTCCAGTAGAGATAGGAGCCAAGTAGGTCTGCAGTATGTCTGGTTTTCTCTTCAACATCATGATATACTAGATAACAAAGAAAACCCTGAATGCAAGAGAGTTCTGAGAAGGAAGAGCTCCAAGAACAGTGCAGCCACTTCCATCAGATTTCAGCGTACACATAGACTCTGCATCAACACTACCACAACAAAGGTGGTACAAACAAATACCTACTTCCAATTTGACGAAGTCAACTCCTTCATCTATCTGGGAGCCACAGTCCACGAAGAAAGCAGATCAAACAAAGACATCACACATAGGCTGCCAATCACAAAAAGAGCACAAGCAAGTCTCAGTCCTCTCTGGAAGTCACGGATGTACAGCAAGTTCACCAAGCTGAGAATCCTCAAGAGCTGTGTCACCTCTGTTCCGCTGTATAGCACTGACATGCAGAGGATTACATCACCAGGCATTGAGTAACTGGATGTTCTCCATCAAAAAAGTACAAGGACAATCCTCAACATATTTTGGCTACACAGCATCTCCAACCATGACCTCTACGAAAAAGCTAAAGAGAGCCCCTTCTCCAAAACTGTAAGGGTCAGGTGGTGGAGATGGATCGGTCACGTCTTGAGAACAGAGAAAGACCAGGACTGCAGAGTTGCTGTCACCAGGATTCCCTGAAGACAAGAGAAGGCATGGCAGACCAAAGATTATGTGGAGGAGAACGGTTGAAGCTGAGTGCAAAGACTTAGGTTGGACAAGGTGGAATGAGGTCGAACAGCAACACATTAGTAGACAGTTTTATGCTCCACTCACAGGAGAAAAGAGGATGAGTGATTGTACCAGATTGCATCATATTCCGTGTATTCATTAAGACCCACCACTAGGCAGAGTCCAACAGGTATTCTGGTGGGAATTACCAGCTATAATGTTGGCATTTCCCAAGGTTGGTACAGGTCTCGCTGTTACTCTCTCACAGATGCTGCAATAGGACAGCTAGCTACTTCGCATACGTTTTTAAAGCAAATATATAATTACCAGGTTAGCTAAATTCCATGCATGGCTACGGCTCTATTTCTCCAGGATATAGTTACATGTAAGTCATTGTTTGCTGGCAGACAATAAATTAACGACAGGAAGTGTTGAGGGTCAAAACATTCTTGGTGCAATGACATATAGCAAAATTCTTAACATTATCTCATGAACATTTGCCAATTAGTCAAAAAGAGTTATATAAGTAGAAAACCTAAACGTAACAAGCCAGTTGTAAAGCCTTTAATGTTTCAAGCATTAAACAAATACTGAAAAAGATTGTGTCTTATCAAAACTAACCTGTGAAGAATTTTTCTCTCATGAATATATGCCAAACCCCTTAATAGCTGGAACAGAAAGAGCTGCAAAAAAAGAAAAAAAATAGATTTTATTTTCATGCAACTGAAGTTATCCAAATTGGTAACATTACATACAGAGAGAAATCAAAGTAGCTGTGAGCCTCTCAACTTGGAAAATGGAGCATCTGTTAACAGTGGCAATTTTGATGCCACTGACCTAAGGTTTTAATCTGCAGGTTAAGTTTAAGTTAGAGCCCACTAGCATTGTTAAGAAATAGTGCAAAATGCAATGATGAGAGAAGACACAAAGAGGTTGTATTCTTGTTATGGTAATCTGTTATACTACCATTTACAAGCTACTGTGAATGGCCAACTTTTTTCCGCGTTGCTCCACGCTTAAAACATTCAAGTTTGTCTAGACAAACTGTTGCATTTTTGAATTGAACCAATTAACGTTTAGAGCGTGAACACGTCGAGTTTTGACAGCTCCACCTGAATGTTTATACACACGAACACAAGTTTTGAAAACATTGCGTCGAGTTTTTTGTAACCAAAGTGCAGCTCCCTGATATAAATAAGAATAAAAATTTCGAAATTTCCAAAGGGTATTAAATCTGCAAACCGACAAAATCAGCTCGTGGAATTTGAGAACTGCCTCAGTTGTACAGGACCAAATTTTTATAGACTAACGGTTTGCGTGACATCTTGAGCCGGAGAATTCTTATGTAATGGCAGGTGTTATGTGAAGTGTTCTGGCACCCAAGTGAGATAAGGTGAAAACTATGTAAAGCTTTTTTTTACTTTTTGTTCAAACAGGAACAAAGTTTAATCCCAGAAATAACTACCCATATAATTCACAACATTGAAGACACCGAAATAAAAATTGAGAGGAGAGTTTACACCTTATGCACTATGGCGTTATGGCATTAGTGCGTTATGGCATTATTGCATTATCGTGTTCGTGCCTTAGTGAACAGCAGCCCCTAAACCCTCCCAATACTGCACTCTGCACCAAAAAGGAAGGCATGACTTCACATAGACCTTACTCTTAGGACTGGGTTTTGCAGCTAGGTTGCTGCGGTAAATGTGTATCCTGGCTGTTCCTATAATATCATGTATTACATACATGAACAAGTGCATGGAAGCTTATCAGCTAACATGCAATCTATTTTCCACCTAAGGTGGAGATAGTAACAATGAACCTGACCTGGTTGAACCACACAAATTTAACCCCTTGTTCCCCCATCTACTATAATAATTCAAGAAGTTAACAATATTTCTGCTTACCTTGACATTATAGGGATGAATTCCTCTTGGATACTTTTCAAGGTAGTTATTTAGATCTGTGTCCTATAAATCAAACAACATAAATGTTTGTAAGTCCCGATGACATCACACTTACATCCAGCACAAAAAGGCCAGTTCCAACAGAAACTGAGAAGTCTCTCTCTCTTACCAACAGAAAGGCAACTGGGTTGATGATTAATTCTGAGGAGACAAAGCTTCTGAGACAGACAGCTCCACCACCCCCTGTTACAAAGCCATGGTATCTCCTATTATGCCACACCACCCCCTGTTACAAACCCATGGTGTCTCCTATAGCCCCATCACCCCCTGTTATAAACCCATAGTATGTCCTATAGCCCCCCCCCCCCCCTCTCAACCCCCGGCCCCTGCAAAAAAAAAAAACTACAGTGTATGGCATCTTTTGCAGCAATGTCCCTCCCCTCCTAGCCTCTGGAAGAAAGCCATCAGATGGTATCATCTGTAGAGTCTCACTCAAAGCGTAAGAGAGGGTAATTTTAACCCAATTAAAAGTGTACAATCTCTATAATGGAGAAGTAAAGATGATGAAGAAATCAAGTGCCAGGAAAGGCACAGTCATTGGACGATCTTGATAATAAAAAACTAACAACGATGAAGAAATCAAAGGCCAGGAAAGTCACAGTCATTGGACGATCTTGATAATAAAAACTAACAACAATGAAGAAATCAAATGCCAGGAAAAGTACAGTCATTGGACGATCTTGATAATGAAGAACTAACAATGATGAAGAAATCAATAGCAGGAAAGGTAAGAAAGTAGTCTTTATGTGTCCCTCTACCGAGAGTCTGTGACGTTGTTGATAATAGAAGAAATAAAAAGGAAGTCTTCATTTAATACTGCCTTGTCTTGGGGTGTCTCCTTGGTGGTCTGGGATGGTTGAGGTGGAAGCCACTTTTTGTTGCGTGCCCTTGCTAATTCCTCTCCCTCACGTTGAGTATGGCCCCAGTTAGTGGCAGTCAAGCTCTTTTTCCAAGGTATTCCAATCCATTGCTTTGATTTCTTTGCCCAAAGTTACATGTAACTTCATTTTGTTGGTGTATTCCATAATACATGACACCAGATTGTATTTTACAAGTCACTCTCCAGTGACAGGTGGGAGGAGCAGTGCAGTTACAAATTTTTCCGAGGGTTTCTGTCAATTGTGTTGCTTTTTCCCCATTAAACCTTACCAGAGGAAATTTGTTGGTCTACAAAAATTGACATTTTTTCTCATTCTAAGTTCTCACATTTTCTCTTTTTCCATGCGATTTCTTTTTTCTCCCCTCAACTATTTTGAGGACAGGGAAACACCTTTCTGAAATTGATTAAATCTTTGTGACTGAGACCATGTGTGCGAATAAACAGTTTCAAGTGCTTTTGAGGGCAGGGAATATTCCATTTGTCTATATCGTTCTCTGTCCTCCTGCAGTTCTGGGAACAGATTCAACTCCTTAATATTTTCCTCTCCAATGCATCTTTCATCAGATTCTCAACAACCTTCAGCTTTTCGTAATGGCCAACATTTGTAAGCAATGGTTTTGGTGTCTGAGGAGTGTCAAGGGGCACTTAATTCTTGTTCCACAAAATTTTTGTATCGTCACAAGCTCACCGTTCCTCATAGTAGCCACCTGGGATGGTTTTCCATGGTCATCATACCATTTAAGATTGAAACGAATCCAATCAAATCTTTCAGAGGTTTCTTTTTCTTGTCTGCTTGCCGTACTATAAGTTTGAATATCAGCCTCTAGGAGATGAGATAGTGGTTGCTGATAAAAACTCAAAGGAGTCTTTGCAAAAAGAGTTTGTCTAAAGCATGGAAACCCATTCCATCTTTTGGCAAGTTCCTTTGCACCATACCACATATTCATTTATGCTAACAACTCATCTCCCAAGGAAAATGCAATACCGTTGATCTTTTCCACTTCTTAACTAACCAATTTGTCTTCCAAATCGCTCTCCAATTTTTTCATACAATCATTGGCATTCTTGAAAACGTTGTTTGTAACTGATGATCCATAGTAGGCTGCACAAACAAAATGGAATTAACTCACTCTGCCTCGTTTGCTATGCTGCTCCTCTACACAAACGTGGCCATTCATCTCCATTCAAAACTCAATGGATGACACTATTACTGTTGGTAGATGGGACTGTTTCTGATCTGGTCATTCATCTACCAAACATTAGTTCAAAGGCCTTGACTCAACAACTTTTCGATCCACAAGAGGACCATAAGATGGAAGAATTTCCAGTACTTTAAAAGATGGAATGTCAGGGCTGCTGAGGTCAGTTTCCTCACTGAGTGCAACATCGTCACCACACTAAAGACTTTCTGCAACTTCTAACATCAAAGACGCTCCGTTCAATTCTCTTAAAATTAACGGGTTGTCACTTCTCTTTTGGCAGTTCTATAGTTCACTAGACATTTCATCTAGCAACGGAGCAGACATCTGTATCCAGGAGAGACCGCCTGTTTTTGAATCTGCCTCCAGTTCATCCAAAGGAAGCCAATTTGCTTTATAAATTACAACCTGATCCATGAGTCATTGAATTACACTGACCACTTTAACTTGTGTAATGTTCTCCACGTCAAAAGTGCAGTCTTCTAATTCATTATCTACAGTAGGAGACTCCTTTTCATGGCCAACGAGCTTGCATACATCTGTGACCTTCTAGCTGATGCACCACTGATGGTTAGCTCTAATTGCCCTAAAGTTTCATGAATCTTGTTCAACAGATTTGGGGGATGTTTCTGGAAAATCGAAATAATGGGAAGTAGAGAGGTTGGTACTTTGATTAGATCTTGTGCTACCTTGCCTAACAATGAGGACAGCTTCAAAGCTTCTGCTCCCTCGATTTCCAAGACATAATTGGCCAAATTTTCTAGTTCTGTTACACTCAGCAAATATGATTAGATGGCTCCAAGAAGGTAGTGAGGCAGAAGAGATCTATGTTTGTATGAGGAAGGGTCATTTTCATTTTCATTTTCACTTCCTATTCACTGTGCTCTCTCAGATGGTAGCGCTCATCCACATGAGTTAAGGCTCCATTTGAGTAATAAATTTTGGAGAAACTACGACAGCCAGTTTTGTTCCTGTCCAGCAAACTGACTGACATTCACTCTCTGTATCAACACTGAAAGATTTTTCAAGGAATAGGTTGGTGTTCAGCAGTAAAACATCTTTTGCAGAGTGATAGTCATGACAAGGCAAAGCTTGAAGTTGGACAAGTTTGTCGTCATTTTCTTTCTCCCTCTTCCTTTCTACAAGCAACTGTTCTGTCTCTTCCTCTAGAGGACTCCAGTGATCATCTTCATTGATGTACCTCAGCCACATACATGCATGTCCTGAGTTAAAGGAGTTCTTTGAGCCTAGAACGACTGAGGCCTTTGCATCAGTGCTACTGATGATAACTGGTCAGCCTCCCACCAGTTGGGATTCTTAATAGTTTATTTAAATATTTGTTTATTTATTTACAGTGTCCCCAGTTAGCACATTAGTGCTAAATACATTGACACTTAAATAAAGTGATTATTAGGTGAGGCTATTGTTCATCAAAGCGAAATGGTTTTAGCTGCTCCATTTTAACAAATGCTCTGTACTACTGAACATTAATGGAGGGAATACTTGTGCCAGTATCAACTTTCCCAAACTTAATCTTTGCTTCACTGGTGCAACTTCTGCTGCTTTTATGGCCAGAATACAGAGTGATGCATCTCCTCTTCAGGGTTGAAACACTTGCTGTTGGCAATCCAAATCCTTGAGCAATTGCATTGCACTGTTCACACAACCTACCAGTAGAAAGGTTCTTGCTGCTGTCAACAGATTCTCTCACAGAGGTAACATATTTCCCGTCATAATGCCTCTTAGTGTGAGTCTGAAATTGTTGCCAAAACTTCAACAATGGTTTCCAAAATAATAGGGTTGATGTCCTTCCTTGGTCTATGGGCCAGTTATGATCTTTCCCATGAGAGCAGCTTAATTGTACCAAGCTTTTTCTTTAAGACCAATTTGGCCTTTCGGAGTAGACTCTTAGCTGGTCTGTCTACATAGCTGGAAGTGCAGATTTTGCCTCAGACACTTTCTTCACAGCCCTTTGTAGTGAAACCATTCCAAAATTTAGATGATGTCGAAGATGGGTGTTGGCAAATTTGGTGCTTTTAAATTTTAATTAGTTTGCTCTTTTTGTCTTCAAATATCTTGAATGTTTCTTTCATCTCAGGGAAGCTCATGTCGAGAATACTTCAGCTCTATCTCTTGTTGCTTCTTCACTGCTCCCTAAAAGCACATATTCGGAACATTCATTCAAATCACAATCGTTAAGTCCCTTTTCATGGACAGTGCAGTTGCCCTATGCGCCAACTTGGCACCAGGGGACAGGTGAAGGTGAAGGCAGTTGGAGGGATCTTTAATATAAACAGGTAAGGCATTTTTCCCAGTCAAGAACACACATTTAAGATGTTTATGAAATGTATAATTATGCTTTAGTAACTCGTCCACACTCAACATCTTTGATGGCGATGAACGCAGGCTTTGGGTGATCAACAACAACAACCATTATATTTTGCATAATACAGAGAATATCATACAGCAAAAGAATACATTAAACTTAAATAAGCAAAAAACTACTCAAAATAGTAAAAACTAAATGAGCTGAGTACTAATAGTAAACAACAGATGTTGTTTAGCATCATCTGAACGTAGCTGATCCATTTCTTTTCAGAATCTTCAACTGTCTTTCCACAAGAAGAAATCCAAAGCACATTGAGATTACGGTAGCACTTTTACAATCGGCCAGGGCATTCACGCTTTTGTTTTCCTTATCTACTTTTTCAGGGTAGATAGGGTTTTGTTCAACCGTCCTTTTCTGGTTGAATGTTGATTGATCTCTTCGATCATTTACTGACATCTTAAGATTTTCAATGAATTCCTGGGCTAACATAGTAAGCTACACAATTAACACACTTGGCAAAAGGTCATGAAGGAAAAACAATCATAACAATGTTTAACATCAACCTTTAATGATCTATAATTCTGCTACACTAAAAAAAATCAAACTTACCACAAACTCAAAGACAAACATCAGAGTATCTTTGGTGTGAATTATGTCATGAAGAGTTACAATGTTGGCATGTTTCAGCTCCTTTAACAAAGAGGCTAAAAAGAGTGGATACAGTAAAATTATAAGAATGACATAAATATTGGTATTACTTTAATGTAGCAAACTTTGTCAGACCACATTGTCAGAATACATATAGGTGGCAATCATTTCAGTCCATAGAGTCCAGACATGGACATAAGCAGTAATAGACAATACTACATGAAATAACAATTGTGCCTGACATATTTATCAGACGTAATGTACATTTTACTGGGTAGGGCTCCATGATTAAGAGGCAACTAATGGTATTTGCTTTTTCAATAACAAAAAATTTACATTATTTACTGCCAGACCAGTAAACAAATTAGTTGATGTTTTTTTTTGTTCTCCCTTTAACCAAACTGTAAACTGCAAATTCTTCCTTCATCTCTCCTGTCGTACAATTAGACATACCCGGTAACTAGGCTGTGGACTAACTCAAAACTTAACAGTTAATTTAGCCGGCAATCTCATTAAAACAATATTACAACAGTTACCTTATCTAAAACACCATACATATGTTAAGTAAACTACAATTGTTATCATATTTATATTAATTTTGTATTGAGAAAATAAAAGATGTTGTAGATGTCGTTGTTGTTGTTCAGACTTGGTCACCAGCCTGGCATTTAAGATAACTTAATTTGTTTTAGGTTTTTTTAAAAATATTTTCACACTACTGTAGAGAATAGTATGTGCATTTAACAGCTAGAAAAATATAGTTCTTGTTTTTATGTATGAAGCTGCTGGAACAATGTAATTCTTCTAGTTATTAACTCAATTACTGAGAATCAAAATGAACCATCTTTAAAGCTGTTTCTTTCCTGAGATGACAAAAATCATCCTGCAATTAGAAAAATTCATTTTGGAAGCAGGGTATACTTTTCTCAGACTCTGCTTTCATTTGGTTGACTACAGAATAAATTTGACAAAACCATCATTAACATCTCAAAATAACAATCAACAGAATGGATAACATGACTTGAAAATACACATCCTTAAGATGTATGCAATTTAGAACAGAAAATTAGAAATAAGAGGGTAGAGAGGTGGATATTTACTCAGCAAGGAAAAAGAGGAGAAAGGAAAGGAATCTGCAGTTTTCTATTGATCCAATCAGGCCAGATTTAAGACCCAGACCAAAAGGATTACTTGAGGTGGCTCAAAACAGTTGTCAGCACTTAGATTTTGATGGGTCATTATGAACCCTCTTTAACACTGGCTACAATCATGGTATCAAAAAACTACCCAATCATTCGTTAACACAGTGTTATCATTTTTGTGATGCAATAGGTTACCATAGCAACAGTATGACCTACTAAAAACACCCCTAATAACAGCTTTCTGGACTTATAATTCAAAACCAGCCCAATGAAATTTTTTTATTACCAAATTTTAATGAGCGTGTTAAGATGCAACTTTTGGCAAAGTTTTAAAAAAATCTCTACATAGGGTTCAGCGCAACCTTAAAGTTTTGAAAATTTAAGGTGGCTCTGAACCCTAAGTGCAGAATTCTTTTAAACTTTGCCAAAAGTTGCGTCTTATCATGCTCATCAAAATTTGATAATATATAAAAATTCCACTGTGCCGTTTTTGAATTATAAGCCCCTAAAGCTATAATTAAGGGTATTTTTAGCAAGTCATTTTGTTGCTACGGTAACCAATTGTGTCACAAAAATGATAACAGTGTGTTCACCAATGACTGGGCAGTTTGTTGATACCATGATTGTTGCATCAAGTGATAAAGAGTGGTTAATAATGACCCATCAAAATCTAACTGCTGGAAACTGTTTTGGGCCACCTTAACTACAATTCATTATGGAGACAAAATGGTCTGGAGCATAAGTACAAAGAGCAGCATTGCAGATGGAGTAATTTCCCCATCAGGCATGGGTGAGTTGTAAGATATTTATAATCCTCCAAGGATCTCTCTTTTGACTGCCTTCATAGTTATTTATAGGGTTAAGAACACTTCAGAACTACAGCAAAACTTAGTATCCATCTGCATTGGCCAAAATTCAATGAATTTGACTTACATTGCAGTTGCAAAGTACAGTATGATGTTTCCTAGCTTAATATAAACATCTAAGAGGTAAATCAAATTGTATAAAATTGGTCTTCTAACCTTCTCTGATTGCTGTGAATGGTGCTCCTTCCTCTTCCTGCAATCTGATCTCTTTCAGAGCCACAACTTTCTTGTTTGCACTGGAATAAAATAACTTAATAACTTTTTTACTCTGTAAGGGTATTGTCTGAATATCTCAAAATTAATCCATTGATGGTTGTGCTGTCCAAAACCAGTGGCATGAAAAACAACCCCCCCAAAAAGCACATACCAGCCAAAACTACCTGTAAATTATAAGGATGCCTTGAAAAAAAAAAGCACCTTCCTTCTGTATTCCCAGCTAGAACATCTTTCACTCTTCCACTGTTCTCTAGATAACAAGGGCAAATAAAGCAACCAGAATCTGTTTCCTGTCCGTATTGTTAGCGAGCTCTAGATGTCCTTGAGTGGAGACCAACTGGCAGGATGTTAGGCCATGGTTTAAATATATGGTGCAAAGCACGACTACCGGGCCAATTACATGCAGCAAACCTAGGGATAGCATACTAATGTACCTGTTTTTGTTTGGCAAAACTTCTTAAACTGAGTGGCTGACACCATGCAAAGGCAAGGGAAAAAAACCTTACCCTGTCTGAAAATTGCTATTTCAATGCCCAAAATACAAGGAAATTTTAGCATTTTCCAAAGCAAACTAACAAACAGTATCTACCAAGACAGAAAACAAAGGCATAGCAGGGGAAATCTATCGCAATAAATGCTGTTAGCATGGAACTCTGAATTAGGCCCACCAACTGGCGCCCATTCTATGAAGCTCGATTTGGCATAGAAATTTGCATAAAGCTCTACCACTCTACCCTTTCGTCAGCAGTCCCCTTCTACATGTTGGAAAGATACATTACCTCCTACTTCATAGCTTTTAGTTGTATATTGTTACTATGGTTACCTGCCTATTTCATAACATTTGATTTCAATTTGTAGCATATTCCTCGCATATTTTTCATATGTATTTCAGTATTATTAAAGTGTTACTACGGTTTACGGTGTTTAAAACGTTTTCAATTTAAAATTCTGTATTAAGTTTACCCTCTACCATCTACACCCTACGGGTCTATGTACCGCCGTAGAGGCTTTCAGTTATTGTAGCAAATATTGAAGTGCATGGGGAATGTTTAGTATTATTACGGTTCACAGTATTTTAATAATTTTTTTGATGTACAATTCTGTATTGAGTTTACCCTCTACCCACTACGCTCTATGCTATATGTTCTACCATCGACATTCTATTCTCTACGTTCTACCAGCTGCTCTCTTCAATCCATGCTCTACGCTCTACAATCTACCTTCTATTCTCTAAGTCCATCCACGCTCTACGTTCTACCAGCTACTCTCTTCAATCTACGCTCTACGCTCTACGATCTGCCCTCTAAGCCCATCTGCTTGGAAGGTTATAGGAATTTTTTAATTTTATTTTTAATTTTTTAATTTTTTAACGAAGACTAGTGAGCAGCACAAAGGAAGACTTCTTGCAGTTTTAAGCATTTTGTTTATTTCCAAAGCGCTTCATCTTCACAATATAATATTTGCTACAATAACTATACGCCACTACACCTCCACGGTGTATACATATCCGAGAGAAACAGAGCTTAAACATTCAAAATACTGCCGTAGAGTCATAGAGCTCTAAGAAAATTTCTAAGCCTAATCAAGCTTCATAAAACGGGCTGGGTATAAGGCCCACAGTTCACAAAAACATAAAAAGCTATAATAATTCTACCAGATTTCAGAAGGAAAGAAAAAAATCCCTTTGCTTGTAAGCATAATGATGTTGAATGTTTCAAAGGACATCACCAACAAGAAAAAAAACATTTTGTTGAAATACAGAACAGAGCTAGGCCAAATACACATGGTTAAATCATTTTTATCAATCCCAAAGCCTTGAGATCAAAAGGACATCCAAGAACAAGAGAAACCTTAACCTGGAACCACCTCACATGAAGGTCACAAACAAGATGAATTGGGGCCACCAGTGAACCTGAGTCAGCTAGGAGAAACCAAACAATGGTTTGCCCGGGAAATGCTACGACAAGAAGCTGGTGCCTTTGCACAAAATGATGATGATCGGTCAGCTGTGTTAAGAATTTGGAGTTGACATTTAGGTAAATGGACAATTAGCCAGTACAGAAGAACTATAATTATCTTCATTCCCATGCCACTTTATGGGGAAGTCAAAGAGTAGTTAGAAGATCTGATAAATTGAAACTGGATCTGTCAAGTCCCATTCAGCTTTTTCCTCATCCATGGTCTGTGTTCGTAAAAAGGATGGGAGTCTGCAGCTGAATATTGCCTAATGAGAACTGAATAGGAAATCATACCCAGAATGCCAGCTGATCCCTCGGGTGCAAGATATCTTAAATACATCAAGAGAAAGCCTCCCACCAGGGTTTCATGGCAGAGGAAAGTTGCCCCCTCACTGCATTTGTAACACCCTGAGGACAGTATCAATGGAATAGGATACCATTTGGGTTAACAAATGCCCCTGCAGCTTTCAAAAGGTGTATGAATGACATTTTAGTGTGAAGTAACACTTTGAAGAACATGTTCAGGATACTCAAGTTCAGGATACTCAAGTTCAGGATACTCAAGTTCAGCGTCAACTACTGGAACATGAGATTAAGGTGAAACCATCAAAGTGTGAGTTCTTTCAACAATGAGTTAGGGCCTGTTTACATGGAGAGAGGGTGCCCTGGCTAACCAGGCTACCTGGCTAACTGAGCTACCATGGGAGGGCTATGTTTCTTTAGAAAACGCATTGAAGCATTTACATGCTAGACAGGGTAGCCCGCCTACCCGGGGCACCCTGTCTACTTGCCCAGGGCACCCGGCTAGGCGGGATAGCTTTCTACCATGTAAACTGTTCGTGTCAGGCTATCCCACCTACCCGAGGTGAGATAAACCACTGGCCACCACTGGCCAGTAATCATAGGATAACCTGGACAGATGAACCAGCACAAGAGGGGCTCAGAGCCCTCCTGTATCAAGAGCATGATATTAAGTTGAGAGTCATGGGTTATGCGTCTGAGACAACAACTCCAGCAGAGAAAAACTATCACATGCATGCAGGAAAGTTGGAGTTCCTGGCCTTCAACTGGGCAATAACTGAGAAATTCCACGAATTCTTGTACCACACCATGTCCTACACTGTCTACAGAGACAACAATCCACTTACTTACATATGTCAGCCAAGTTGCCTGCAGTGGGGCATCAGTGGGTAGCAGAATTGGCAGATTTCAATTTCAGCATAAGGTATCCCCAAGAAAGACCAACAATGATGTGGATGTATTGTCTAGCCTGCAATCAGACCTCAACAAAAACATGGATTGTACTGCAGAAATGGAGAAGGACGCAATCTGTGCAACAACAGACGTAGTAAAAGGTGATGAACCCTGGGTGACAACAGTATCAGCAAACATTGACATTTCTTACCCAGAAGCAGTAATCACAGATTGAGTGTTTCCACAATTTACCTCGGAAGAAATTCAAAGAGCTCAAAGAGAAAACTCTGACATCTCACAGATTTTGGCATATAAGGAATGTGGATATCCCCACATCAGAAAGAGAACGGAAAAACAAAACCCATGGCATATCTTGCTACTCAAGAGAGTGGACTAAACTCCACATCTCAGCAGACAGGATCCTGTGGCATCAAACTAACAGTCGATTATAGCTAGTACTCCCCACAAAGTTTAAACAGCTGGTTTACCAAGAGCTTCACATTGAAATGGGCTACATGAGTGCAGTTCAAGTGGTGGATTTGGCTAGATCTAGGTTCTACCGGTCATACATGAAAATAGAAACTGAGTACTCCATTGCTAACATATGTCACTGCATCCAACAAAAGAAGCCTAAAATTCCCACTAAAGTACCAATGGAGAGCATCACCACAACAGCCACATTTGTTATAGTATCCATATGTGTCGACATTTCAAAACCAGTATCTTCTTACTAGACAGTTGGCTGAATTTTTCCAGAAAAGTTCTAACTTACTGTATGTGTCACACTGCAGGCTAAAATGGCGTTCTTCTGCAGTTCGCTTTCTTTTTTATCATATAGCTAAATAATGTAAAGACAATTGGCTCTACCCTCAGTTAGTTTCCAGGCTTCTGCAAACAGTTTGCTTACATTTCTTGGTTGATTTCGGGGAAGGTGTTATGCATCAGTGACATGAACATGAACTGTTCCTTCCTGTTAGGATTGCTACGCAGTGTTAGTAGACTCGGGTCATGCATTCTCCATTCACTTCCATGAAAAAGAGATATCAATGACTCCTCACCTTGCTAGTCTTGGAATCAGTTGCAACTGTGGTTGAGGAATGAGGGGATCACAGAGTCAGTGTTAATTCTGAATAATGCAGGTTTTTGGTTACGTAAATGATGAAGAAATTCAGGCCATGGCAATCTGTCCCAGGCACAGGAAGGACTTAACCAACAACTGGTCAGGACAGAAAGGGTAACTTTGCTCCTATCCATCCCACAAAGGACAGGAAAGGCAACTGAGCCTCACAAGGCATGTAAATGCCTCTAGGTCAGCCGAAATGTTTCTTCAGTACAATGTTTGTTGTCGCTATTGGAGCAGGGTAGTTTTCATTTTCTGCTTTGTCGTTCATAGTTTTACCCACCTTATTTTTCGGTCAAAAGGCCGGAAAATTAGCACTATGCCCAATTCATAGGTGAGCATTTTTTGGTATTTTATTTAAACTATTTTTTTTAGCAAAGTTTTATGTAGCTCCATAAACTTATGCTAGGTACATTTCAAGTTAGGAAACTTTTTTACTTATGCAGACGAGATTAAAACTTTATGCAGTACCAATATTGTGGAAATGAAAATATTTTAAAACCCTTCAAATTGTGGGGGTGATGTAGCAGCTCTCATAAGGTCTGACATGAATGGCTTGCTACCCTTTGAGAGAACAATAGAACAAACAACAGAAACAATGCCCCTAGCCCTAAAACAATAGCAGCTGCTAACAATGAAGAGAATTACAAGCTTATGAGAGCTGCTAGACTTCTCAATTGTGGTGGAGACTTTCAAAAGTTTCTGCATTCCAACTACATGTAATAATGTAATATTGCTCAAGAAAGAGACATGAGGTGGGTCAAACTGCATGTGTTGACAATAAGGAAACCTGCCATCAGACCTAATCTAAACAAACATACGTTTTACCACTGCAAATATGTGTTGTAGTTAATCTTCAACCTTAAATATAATTTATGCTCCCCGCTAAATCACAAGAAAATGTCCTCCAGAAAACCCTTTCAATGTTGCAGAAGTGTAGCCTACATAAGTGTTCATTGTTTCTTCTTAGTTTAAAACTGTTACTATCAAATAGTTTAGGGTTCCTGAAAAGCGAGATTACATGCCTGTGAACCAAATTGCTGATTAAATTATACAGTAGTTTGTGTGCAATTGACGTCTAGCTTCAAATCGTTTTGTAGATGCAGGATTAAAATGTCTTGATATAAACATTTGATGGCAAGTAGCTATAATTGAAGCGACAAAGAGATCTCAGCAACCCATTTTGATTAATCTTGTTAAAATGATTCAAACAGGATTAGGAACAAGTCAACATGAAAATAATTCAATGGACCACTTTTTGGGTACCTCAAGAATATTCAAAAGAAAAAACGAAATGATTGCCTTCATGATATATTTTCTCTCCAATGCAGTTGGTAGCTGGAAAAAGGATGTTATCAATTAAAACCATCTATAGCTAGGTAGGATAAATTTAGCCCACTCTTTGACCCAAGGTTAGCAATACATAACTTTGAACAAGAGAACAAGCATGGAGAAAAAAATCAACCAAAGGGCAGGTTAGATTGACTTAACCCTAGGTTAGGATTCAACTGTCTTCCAAACAACTGGGCCCTGGTCAATGTACCTTTCTTCCCTTTATCAACTTACACACTGAAAGTTTAGAGTTAACTGAGACCACATTGCCAGCCTTCAGTTCCACCGAGATTTAGTGGTGAGCACAAACTTATTATACCAAACTACAATTATATTAAATGCTTTCTTTATGTGGGACACCTATGATACCTCCTTTTGATGGTAATAACATCAGGTCAGTGATAACTACAGTACAGTAAGTTTACACATGGAAATAGGGTTTACAGTATCAAGAAAAATAGATGTTAGAATTACCTGCAAACACCTTTAAATACTGTTGCATAGGAACCTTCTCCAAGTTGCTCAAACTTCTGATAAGCATCAAGTTGACCAAAAGGAGGGGATAGCAGGGGCTACAAAGAAAATTAAAACTGTGAAGGATCCTTTTGAAGCTGTCACTACCTTTGAGGGACTATGTACAATGTAAAAGTACCTTACAGTATCTACAACACTTAACATGTCTGTAAAACGTAGCAGAAAAATGCCAAAAAGGTGCCATAATCAAAATACCGGTAGTAACTTTGCACTTGTACTTTGTCAAATGAAAACCTAGGTAAGTATAACTGAAGGATATAAAGTTACTTTTTAGTGCAGCATGCACTATTGGGATGGTTTAGGGGGCTGCTGTTCAATAAGGCACTAGCGCCCTAACGCCACAATGCCATAAGGTGTAGACTTAAATGTTTGTTTAATTAATTAATTTCAATTAATTAATTAGCTATGGCGGAAGGGGGGGCTGGGTGTGTTTAGGTATCCGAGTGTATTACGCAAAACGTGTCATACTTACGTTGCCTTCCATGATAACATGACAATTAAATATATATATGGTTTTGCAAATCTCATGCTATCCTTGTGGTGCCAATCTCTTAAGAACAAAAGCAATTTGCTCCAAACGCATGCGCAGATTAGTTAGCGTCAAGGTCGACTATATGTTAGGTGAAAGATACATTTCATGCGGGACTACCCACATTGAGTGCTTTCCCTTGTGGTAGAGCATAACATGTAAGACGCATGCATTCAAGCATTGCTAGTGTGATAAACTCCGTTCTCAAGTTCAGATGCACGCTTTTTTATTTTTTGTAATGAGTGATATCACACTNAGTGCCATACCGAATGAATGGTGTTTCTCCATCAAGGCAAAAAGTGTTTACGTCAAACCCCATCCTTAAACTGAAAATTCCTTTCATGTTCCCACAAGAGGCAAGATGATAGATATGCCAAGCATCTCCTCCAAAATGCTTCACGAGAGTTCTGTTCTTGTCAAGAAATTCCAGCAACTCCCCATGCTAAATTAAAACATGTGTACCCAAACCTTTCTATCAACTGGAAGAAAATCTATTCATTACCCTTAAATGTTGCTTTGGACACAATGTCGAGAGTTTACCAATACAAATTGCTGAATCTTATTATTTCTGCAAAAAAATAAACTTTGTAAAGTTGAGATTGTAGATTTACCATCATCAACCTTTTGTAAGATTGACTAAGAGTCCCTCAAGTATTTATTGTTTTTTCTGTAAAGTAACTGAGGTCTTTTGGAAAGAGGTGTTATCATGGCTGACCATCAATGTAAACAAAACATTACATTTTTTCCTCATAAATGTTTTGTTTGGTTTAGTGGTTACATTGTATGCAATACTTATCAAGAACCTCAACACACCTGAGGTACGTTTTTAAATTCTTCAGGTGTAAATTCATCTGAGTGTCTCCTGTCATTCCCAATCTCGAAGCTGATCTTTCTAAGCCGTGCACCTATTGAGTCTGACACTGTCCTTCTCACAGCTGGTCTTACTGCAAGGTTGCTTGTATTTGGACATGTACTGGAGCTATCAAAAACATCAGCCTGCATGAAAAAAAGCACAATTTTAATAAATGGACCACTTTGTACATGTACATGTATAGTAATGGTTTCAATTATACAGTGTAATTATTTGACTGATGATCATCACACAAGCAGATTACAACGGACGTATTCATGGGCTATTTTTTTTTGTTTGCAATAACACAAGGGAAACCAATGCTCACTTACAACACTAACTCTATTTACATTATATTACTCTAATAATTTACCCCATTTAAATTGCAATATCTAAATGGCTTACACTACTAACAAATACAGTTACACAACTTACACAACTAAGAAATACAGTGAAATACAAGGGGCAAAAAAAAAGAAGAAAAATAGCTAGTTATCATTAAAGCTTGAGGTTGTAGTATAGAAACATAAAAAACAGACCAAAGGCATGTGGTACATTAAAAGTAAAATGAGTTATGAATCTGACAGGAGATTAGAAATAGATTAATGGGTAGGAGATAGATAACCCTATAGAAAATATAATCTAAAATATTAATTAAATCCTCACATATCCTGTAAGAGGTTCCCATTTCTTTGTGTCTCCACTTTTTGTTTCTATCTCATATTGTGATTTTAGTGTGCATTTGAAATGCGTAAGATTTGGATGATCATCTTTTGTTTTAGTGAGCCATATGTGATATCGTGCTAAGAGAAAGCAGCAATTGATAAGAAGCGCAAATTGAGAGATATCTGGCCTAAGACCCAAAGCAGTAATATTTGTCAAAGCATAATCTCTAGGAAGTAAATTTAAGTTTTTCAGCCATTCAGTAAGTTTATTCCAAAAGTGAGATGTTTGGCGGCATGACCAAAAAAGATGAATTATTGACTCAGAGGAGGTGTGACAAAAACTGCACTTTTCATCGCCCTCTAGACCTATTCTAAATAAGAAGTTATTGGTTGGTACACGTCTATGTAAGAATTTACTAGCTAGAATTTAACTCTATTTTTATAACTATTTTATACTATTAGACGTTTTATATTTTTAGGAATTGTATTTAGCAGGGCCCCTCTGGATACCAGCCACTGTGCTGAATGGGCCACCCTGCATAAATAAAGTTTTACCTACCTAATTTAATTATATTACATGGGCTATTTTAGCATAATTATGTTCGAACAGCACTATGCAAAATTAAAGTTTGGTCTTGCAATATTTTGGGGATATATGCTGGAAATTTTGTCATGGATGATTATGATGCCCCTGCATGTCAAACAAACATCACTGATGCGTTTTTACAAACGCAAAAATTCAAACAGACTTGCCAAGACTTTGTGTTCATCAAATGACACGTGGCAAACTTAGCATGATTTAACAATACAGCAATGTGCAAAACTCTTATAAATGAAACCCAAGACAATTAAAGTGCTCTAAGAACAAATCCGTGATTTTCCCAGTGAAAGATGAATTACTCTTTTCACAACAAACATTAAAAGTTTTAACAAGGAAAAATTACAATAAGCATGTTGACTCATCTTGTTAGAATACAGGGACTTCATGCTTTTCCCACAAAAAAAAGAAAGAGTAGTTCAATATTCACTGCATATGACGCATGTCAAGATGCCTTTACATAAATGTATAAATACGTCAGGTGGTGCCATGTTTCTTTGAATTTTCATTACTTCCAATTTTCTTTTCTTCAAAATTTTTGTTTTAATACTGCTAAATGACTGCAAAAAATTATTTTCAAAGAATTTTGCCACTATGAAATTGTCCTTCCATCCATGAAATTTTGGCAAAATCTTATTGAAATTTCGTGGTAACAAAGAGTAGAATTTGAAGAAATTTGTTTGCATTACTTTTGCCTAGTTAACTGCATTATGTAAGTGCTAACCATATAAGCAAGTGACAAACATTTGACTGCATTGTGCATTGCATTTACTTGCTTATTGCAAATCGTATTCACTTATGCTTTTTAAATGACACATGCATATTTTTAGCTTTATAAAAACAAGAGACTGAAACCACAAGCAATAAAAACAACTAAATTTTCACATAATATATCAAACAGGAAAGACAGTGTTTGACCACATTTCCAAACACCAAGAAGAGAGTTGAAAATACGATGTGCAGCGGAGTATTTTTAACCAACTTCGAGGTGTTGGAAATGTGGTCAAATACTGTCTTGAGTGTTTGATATAATTATCTTCTCAATCGAACCTAAAACTGAGGAGAAAATGGAGAAATAAAAGCGTAAAAATCTGTGCTAATTAAGATCAGATATCCAAACACCGTCACGGTCATGACTTCCTTTGTCTAAACTTGATGAATTATTATTATATGGCTGTGTCTCACAAGGACTGCGAACTACCGAATTCACACATTTGATTGGCTGAAATCGATATTGACCACAGTCTAGATTTTCCCATCTAGACCAGCATCTAGACCGGTTTCATTTTGCCTTGAAATTGTAGCAAACTGAAATACAAAAATGTTCACCGTTTTCTTTTATTTTCTTCTCAATCATTTATGGAAGTGCCAAAAAGCCTGATGACAAAAAAAGAAGTAAAGATGACGAGCAAATTTCGGCAGGTTTATTAGTTAAGCTCATCTCCGCTTGCAAGCAAACCAGTTACATTAAACGAATAAAAGTTTTCTTCTTTGCCATATAATAAACATCTTATTAACCGAGCTAAGTTGGTCTATATGGGAGAATCTTGACCTCAGTCGTGTGTACAGACCTCACTGCGTTCGGTCTGTACTCACGACCTCGGTCAAGATTCTCTCACACAGACCTCCTGCTTGGTTAATAAGAGCTAATTAATGAGTTTGAGAAGTATCTTCTCAATCAAAATTAAAACTGAGGAGAAAACAGAGAATTAAAATCGTAAAAATCTATGCTAATTGCGGGATATATCTTTGTTTGGATTTTTCCTTGGTAAAGTAAAAAGACAGCTTTGCTATAGACTTTGCTACAACTTTCTCAAAAGACAAAGTTTCACTTGTAATTTTTTTTTTCACTCAGGAAGGCAATTAATTTTTCTACTTTTATTGAATGTTTGAATGCTTTTAAATCAGCCCTTTTCCTTCTAGGTCTGCAAAATATTGCCAAAATATTAACATTAGATCCCCAAAATATCACCAAACTTGTACATAACATTTACATAAAATTAAACTTTGCATATCCAAAATTCCTGACTCAACTTCCATTCAACTTCCATTCATGAATTCTTGCCCTCGCTGATGGGCAGAAAGGAGAACATTATTTTCTGCCACTTCATTAAGAAACAGAACATAACACGAACAACAGGTGAACTTGCAAATACATGATATCAGCCACAATGGAATTGTTGCAGGAAACTTGCTAAATTGAAACATTCACGGGCCTTGCTCTGAGGTTAGCAAGGCATAAATAGTGCAATTTACTTTTTAATCTGTTTATTTTCTTTTTTTTACAAGGATCAAATACCGGTTACATTGGTGAAACAGCTATACATTTTTTTCTTTTAGCTGTTGAATTTTCCAGAATTCTAAGCAATTTTAGGCAGTAATGAGTGGTGCTACAGGCAGTAAATTTTACCAGTTACCACCTGAAAAGGAGAACACTGCACTATGGAGCTTAAGGCTGAGCATTAGTCGCGTTAGGTCTCAAATGTAAGATAAAGAGTTCCAACTAGCCTTTTGTAACACACCAAGCTTTGAGGTAGAAGAATTTATATTAGTTATGCAATGCTTTTGAGTGGTATACCATGGAATTTCCCAAGAGTGACCCTTGTATTTCCACAGTATACACACAAGCCTTTAAACGAGTGTGTATACAAAGAAATCACAAGCGACAAGTAGGATATTCCATGGTATACCACAAGAGAGCATTACTTAACTATTTTGCCTAACACATTTTACAATGTGACAAATGTACAGCTCACAACGGGAAGGTTGGGTGTCATACCATGGAATATGCAATAGCTTTCCTGTATTCTGATTGGCTGTATTTTCTGGGGCATGATGTAAATATTTCATATACACCTATTAACATGAATGTGGGTGTCCTCAAGATCTTGAAGTGATCTAGATCTAACCTGTACATTGGTCGATGTCAGTCGCTATACTGGCCATTATATAGAGAGTCAGACTGACACTTGAATGATTGCGGACCGATAGTGGACGAATACTTGGGCAATGAGGGATTGACAGACAACTAATAATTGATGAAAAATTCCAAATCTTCGAAACTCAAACAAATAGTACAAAAATTTCAAGGAAAAGTTTCCAGAAAATATTGAAATTGTTGTATTCCTGCAAAGCAAACCATTCAGCCAAAAATTTCGTCAATTCTGGGAGGAAAATTAATGGAACAAAAATTCCTAGTGAGAAATTTCTGAAAATATGGGACAGTATACCTCTCTATTAATGTCCTCTTTCGTGGACATTTGGTAAAATGTTGCTCCATTCGTCAATAGAAATTTCCATAAATTCAACCCAGAATTGTTGATCAAAAAGAAAGATCCCCTAGTCGACTATAAACCAAGAGTTAACAGCTGGTGTCAGTCAATGTGTCAACCATGATATTATTGGTGGCTCATCAATCAACTATCAGTCACACGTCAGTCAACTGTCAGTTGCATTTCAATTGATTTATTGTAAATCAATCAATATGTTGGCATACAAAAGTGTCAATACATGTAGCTCAAGAGTCACGTTCAGACTTGTCTGATCAGTGAGCTTGGGTCACTTGTGAGCAAAGTCAAAGTAAAATGTTCTTTAGTATCTAAATTTCAACCCCGGGTATGTTCTTAACTTGTTGTTAACTTCTAGCCCTTTTTCAACCTCAATGTCCTTATAGGAATGATCTTATCCAGTGCATGTATAATACAAAAAAAGCATAAGAAGTAATTCATATAGTGTGATTGTTTGGGTAAGGATAAGAACATTAGTTTGTTGTCATCTTCAGGGTCAGTACTGCGGCCCTAGGGTTTTGTTTGGGTTTTTGCCACCTGTTGTTCTCTTGGTGTACCTGACTGCTTTTTTGGAATTTTTGTACGTGCAGCCTACATGTAGAATGTTGTTTGGTTCACACTGTGATAAGCAACATGGTAATGCAATTGCAATACAAGACTTTTTTTCTATTTCTGAGTGGGAAATTTAAAGTTCTGATTTTTCAGAGAATTATGAATAACACAATAATAATGCATTCCTGCATCACCCAGGACCACCAATTAAAGAAACTGAGCACTGTATATAAGGTGTGTTACTAGCATATCAAATCTCAAAATGCCGGTAGAGTTCCAAAAAAATCAAATGATGACACTAACAGTTTTCTTGAATGAAACATTAAAGAATCCTAGTCAGCCTTCACCATTTTCAATGACATCAAAATTATTGATATTGCATGGGGAAGCAAAATCTTGTTGCTTTATGGCAAGTTGTGTTCCTGAAAGTATGTTTAATTATCTTATGTAGTTTTACAATTATTTCCTTCAATTTGACACGCTCCAAATAAAATATAATAGCCAAACTCTTGCATGTAAACAAAAACAAAGGTGTGGCTGACTGGGGACTTTTAACTAAGCACCTCTGTATTTCCATCGCTTTCTTCCAAAGAGACATCCGCTCTGCCATTCTCATCTTTTGTCAATGCTGAAAAGTGCAATTGAGAGAGAAAAGAATTAAACTTTATATTACTTATAAATATCACACCTTGGCATATTCATTCACAGTTTTATGCAAATGCATTTCTTTGGTAGACTCCATGATAAGGTTTTAATCCCTGATCACAAAGATTTGTTATACCTCAACATACTTGTACCTGTATTTGAACATATATGTACCTGTATTACCAACATGGAAGTTTGCTTATAGAAAATGACTTATTCATTTTAACATGACAAATAAAAAATGAAATAAACAAAATAAGAAAATATATATAATTATTCTAATGCCACTATACATTCTAGTTTCTTCCACTTTGACGGTAAAAACCACTTCAAATTTGTTTCAATTTCAAGAGAAAATAGGGAAGATAGTATTAAATGCAAAAGGTGCTATTTGATTACGAACCATCCTGTACTAATGATGAAACCAACAAGTTATCTAAAGACTCACTGTGAAGTCTGCAGCAACATTTGGAAGATTGACCTGCCACAAACTCTGAGCAATTTTACGCAGACATAAATGGCTTAGACTTCTTCCATTTTTTTGTGATGATGCAAAAGATTGAAACCTGGAGAAGACTGTCATGGATTACAGCTCTCTCGCCTTCTGGATAGAGCATTCTGCTCTTACATTAATTATTGATCCTGTCCTACAAGCCACATCAACCTCTGTCTGCCATTTACAAATTAAACCTAGTGTCAAGTGGCTAAAACTCTCTAATGTGAAAACGTACAACCTTGATCATGTACATTTAGTTATATGCCACACACTATGACTTCTTGGCTGATTATTCAAATACTGACAGATCACTGACAGTAGGCCAACTATCAGCTGACTGTTGGTCTGTGTTTTAGCCTAAACCTGTCAGCCGACAGTCAGCCATCTGTCCGCCGACAAACAGCCAACAGTTGGCAAACAGGTGGCCAATAGTCGGCAGACAGGCGGCCAACAGATGGCCAACAGAAGGCTGACAGTCAGCCGACAGACGGCCAACAGGTTGTTTTGGGAGCTGTTCTTCAGAATTACCCTAATTTGTATGCAACAGCTTTGCAAAATATTGTTTATGGAATACTGTTCAAGCAGTAGGGTATCCAGCAGTTTCTCCCTAAGTGGAGGGGTCGTACAGGGGTATTCTCGTGATGCGTGATTAGCTGATTTTATTTTCCGTGAAGTGTGAATTTAGGAAATTATTCTTCGTGATCCGTAACCTGAAGGTTTTGCGTGACCAATGAAGAACTTGAATATTAACTGATATTCATAATTTCACCACTCTATTCTCCGTGATTTTGAGATGCAAGTTCTCTGAAAGGTTAGAGTCGTCTATCGAGAGTGACTTAGACATGCCATTTGCAATATGGAGCCTTGACTTAGCCTTTTACGATTTTTCTTTCTTCAAACACTCTTTCTAGTGTAAGAACAGGTTATTGAAAAGAGTATCTTACTTGCTTATTTTTGTGATTCGAGAAAACAAATTTTTATATCCGTGATCTGTGATCCTCTATTTTTTCTGTTCATGAACCGTGCCAGAGGCCCCCCTGTACAACCCTCCAAGTACATCTACAAGCAAACAACAAAGAAACCTAAGAAAAAATTATGAGAGCCCATCAGTAGGCTGCGAGGAAGTTAAAGAATAGTAAATACTAAAACATGGAATGACCTACAACCACCAAAAACTAAATACAACCACCTTCAGAATACTATTTTTATAATTTTAAGGCATTTTAGTGACAATTTTGTGGACAAATTTTTGCTCACACCGTGAGCAACTTCAATAACTACACACCAGAAACGTTGTCTTTTGTTTCACGGGTTCCTATCAAAAGCGAAATTAGTACCCTTGAAACATAAGTCATTGTCTGCGACATGAGCCCATTCAAAAATTAGGGATATCGCGAAAGTAACCCTGTCGTGCTTCAAA